AGAAATGATGATCTGGCGAAGATGTTGTAAACTTTCTCTGTTAGATAAAATAAGAAATGATGAAATAAGAAAGAAAATGAAAGTGCAAACAACCTTGAACGATACGATCGAAATGAGACAATGGGTGCTTCACTTTGGTCCAGTGATGAAGCAACATCTGTAAGAACCAAATGGCAGTTTCCGTAGATTTTTATTTTCTAAAACCGCGTTGTGAGTCTGAAAACGCTTCGTTTTTCCTGAGAAAAGTTTCCATTCGCCTATAGAAAAGCCTCTCTGATATTTTTGTGAAAACTGACAAAAAAATGAATGGAATAATTTTGAATATCATTTTGGTTCCATTTTTTTAAGTGGCTTAATTTTTGCGGTTTTGAAAATATCTGGAAATATTCCTGTGCATAAAGAAGCATTGAAAATGTGATTTAACGAGTCTGTAAAGGCAGATACACAAGTTGTCAATAAACAATCCGGAAATTCATCTAAACCAGATTAATATTTATTTTTTTTGGTTTACTGACTATTCTCAGGATTTTGTTAGAAGAAATTTTGGAAATAAACACCGTGTCTAAATGTGTATAAATGCAGCGCAGAATTTTTTAATAAAGAATCCTGAAATTAATTTAATCCAGGCATTTATACAGACTAATATGAGGATTTTACTGGAAGAAGTTTTCGAAACAAACATTATGTCAAAAACTTTTTGGGAAACGTAAGACGTTTAATTTTGTGGTTTTAATTCTTTCTTGAGATCAACCGCAATTCTCGAAAAGTGTTGGTTAAGGAGACTTACAACTTTACCGTGTAGCTTACCTTTTTGTCATCATTTAAAGCAACTTTCTCTACACAATTTTTTAATGATGTGGTCCGTATTTTTTACGATATTCCATGTTGCTTGAGTTTTGTTATTGGCTTTTAAAATATTCTGATCATTTTTATTATTATTTTTGTCTGCACTATTACTTCCCTTAAAATGCTTTTGTATTTTCGGAAGTGAACATGGAAACAGCGATAAAAGAACCTTATAATTTTTATAAGAGAAGGAAGACCTGTTAGCCCCTATCGTAACGAACGAGATAGAATCGGCTCACTCCGCGAGAACGTGGTGAACAACACCACCGCGCTCGGAATGGCGTATTTTATAATCCCAAAGTTTAAATTCACAGTGGCATTTCGCTAAGACTGTCCAACGGCACGGCGAAACTCCGGCCTTCGGCCTAGGCGGTTATTAAAACACCCTCGAGTCTGTCCAACGCATTTTTGTCAAAGTGCGTCTTTGCTGAAAACCTTTACGGTGACATTTTGACGTTTCGCTTGCCGAAGTTGGGTGACTATGCTCCGGTCTTCGTCCTGTGTGATGAATAGAGGGCGAATTTTTATGTAATTAAATGATTTTTTTTTATTTTTCTTCTTACAGTTCTCAAAATTATAATCATGGATAATCATCGCCGTCGTTACACAATATCCAATTTGTTCGTTACATACTTATTACTACATTACATATGTTGCTATTCACAAAATATCTTTTTATTCTATCAATTTTCTTTATTTGTATTGCGTATTTTTTAAGAAACTTTTTTTTCGAAAAAGAGAACAGAATTTGTTTCTACATTATTACTGCTTGGTGTTTACTCGAGATACGCTATGTGAAGACGTGATCGGATATTCTCATAGTCCGACGCGCCTGCTTCAGTTATTTCGATGGAGGAAAATGCACGTTGGCAGCTGAGATCATTTTCACCTTTAGGTGTGAAAATATCACTGACGCTACTTATCGTGACCTTTAACCTGAATTTCTGACAAACTTTGGCTATCGCCGACGTGTTTGATGAGAATGCTACACGCTGCAGTAATTGTTTGCTGGTCGTAAATAGCGCTAGTTTGTAGATGGCTTTTATTTATGGCTTGTATTGCGTATAGTCTGGCTACTAAATTACGGTTCTGGATAGCAATAGATGAAGCTACTGACAGGAAAGTTGTGTAGGGCAACTCGTGCAACGTAGTGCATAAACGTGTGCTCTCCAAATAATTTTTTAAACGTTTGTATTCTTATTAAAATTTAATTAGGAAATTTTTTATAAATGTAATTTCGTATTGTGAAAATGTGATTTATAATTAGTGTATTTTAATATTACATATTTTGTCCGATTTTACATATTTATTACATGTTCTTACTGTTTTCATTACATACTTAAATACATATTTCGATGTTTCATTCTACCTATTTTCCCGGTCTGTAGTGATGAATATAAAACTTTCTTGAGCCAATGCAACGCATAATTTTCTTTTGCCATTCGAACTATGCAAACAGAATGACCTCCCATTCACCACTCATTCTTCACTTTCATCCTTCAATTTCGCGACTTCGGAGTTACGACAAGGAATAAGACCCCTAAGACGTTTCGAACGTAACTTCTGCCTGCATTGCACTAAAATCAATACTTATAACCATTTAACGAGTTATAACGCCAAACATAATCTTCTTAAATTGATACATTTGGTCTAATTATCATAAAGTAACAAAAGTACCATACATGGAATAACATTATAATATTTTGTTGAAAGCAGAATGTATGTTATCCGTTTGCAGGAAACTGCGAACTTAAAGCTATTGCTATTATTATGTATATGAGATGTAAGTTAACACACATCGGTGTGAAAAAGAGTGAATGTTTGTAGGCACTGGAGAATTATATGGGATGGTTCAAAATAAATGTTAATTTTGTATATCGTGCCCCTGATTGATAGGCAACTTATCCTGCATTGATGTTTGGCAAGTACACAAACTTACGGAATCACCTGCCCACTAGTAAAAAAATATTACTTTTGTCTTTATTGTGCGATTTTTACTGCAAACTTTTCTTACGATGCACAGAAGGTAATGGTAGTGCTCGTTCTGGCACAATCAAAACTGATCAATAAAGACAAAACATTCAATATTGTCATTGTCATGGGGCAGGTATCCTTCTGAGTTTGTGTGCTTACCTAACACCAGTGCATAGTGATTTGCCTTCCCATCAGAGGCACAATGTTAGAAATTTCACGTGTGTAAATTTTTGTTATATGAAATTTCCCACATTTATTGGGGGAAAATATTTGATGCCTCCTACATGCCCTAGATACATGTAACATTTATTCTGAACCATTTGTATAAAATTAATGCACTCATTTTCTTATTTTGGGGGGGTATGAATACACTTGAAAATAAAACAACCAACAATTTTCTTTTCCAGTATTTATTTTTGAAAAAGTGCCTATGACAAAATTATGGACCACAATGTGCAAAATTCTTGCCAAGAAATACTAAAGTATGAGTTTGAATTATTGTTTCCAAACATCAATACTTTTCTGAAACATGAAACTCTTCAAGTTTAAAAGTATAATTTGTCTCTGTCTTTGATACCTAATGCAGTATGGAAGAACTAAATCAATAAATTCATTTTAGAGTAGTACTAATCAAGTCCCAACTGGATATTGATTCCTTTCAAATATTAATTGATATTATTCTTGTTTCAGCTGTTTGTAATCAAACGTGTCTAAATGGTGGGGAATGCCTTACTCCAGGACACTGTTCATGTAGAAAGGGCTATATGGGACCCAGCTGTGAACTAGATTTGAATGAGTGTGCTTCTGATTTACATCATTGTCATGATAGTTCAATTTGTGTCAATATGCCGGGTTGGTACTACTGTAGGTGCAAACCAGGATTCCGAAGTATTTTTCATGATAACAGTTTGGGCACCATGTGTCAAGGTAGGTGGTAATTACATGGTAAATGTCAAATAATAAGTAAGTATTGAATATTTTAATCATTCATGCTATTAATAAGCAGATAAATGATGCTGAAAGCCCACAGTATCTATGATGTAATATATAATGGAACTTGACCCAAAGATTTGACAACTTCATTATTTAGATAGACGATTGTCAAAAACATTTATATACTTATATTGATTTAAAATTAAAGAACTTTCAAAGATTGCCATATTTAATTTTTGGAATTAACCGAGTCAGTGGTGTCAAAAGAAGTAGATATATTGCTGCCAACAAGAGCAAGTAGTTTGAGGCTTCAGCACTAGAAATGAGTTTGTTTTTTGTATTCTAGGTTACTATGTATTTTCAGACATTCTGGAAACCTCAGTAGTGTACGTTTTCTGCAATAATAAGATTGAGGTAATAATACACCCAGTGGCTTAGGGAGATAAAATTAAATATGTAGACGGCAATACCGAGACAAATTTTTTGAAGTGACAATCCTCAAATATAGTTATTCCATAATTACAACCTTGAACCATAAAGATTTATTGAGTGCATTTTTCAAAGCATTATTGAAAATATATAGTAAGAACACGCAAAGTGCAGTGATGAATCACAGTCTAATCACAGTGTATGGAAAACCTCCCTGACAAGAATGACATGTCTATCCCAGTACTTCCAGTGATATACTTTGCACTCACAAGGAGACACCTTACTTGGGTTTCTCCGTCCTTGCTGGCTGGGTGCAGACTCAGTGCTTCTGCTTCCACTTGAAAACAGACTCAAAATTAAAGAAGAAGATCTTCTATTAGATAATATATGGTAGTTTCTATTAATTTTTTCTTCATTGGATAGACAGTGTCTATCTTGTTTCCCCTCATTCTACACTACTGAATTCGCCATTAAAAACTACTAACGTACTCGCTCCACAAACTCATTCTTCTGCAAATTTATGTGCAAACTACATTTTATACAATGTATTTTTAGAATCTTATTTTGGATAGAATTTCCAATCATTTTTGTTATTAAAAAACAAAAGGAATTCACTATTAATTGTTTCCTTTGTCAAGTAGTTTGGTGAATTTTCGCAGAGCTAACATATTTTGTAACAAAAGATACAAATATTTTCAGATAACCTATAACAGTGCATTGCACATGGCTTATTTTCATTGAACATTTTTTTCCAAGTTAAGTGTAAATGTGTCAATTTTCAAAGACAATAGACAGCATTTCATGCCAAGGACACTGGCAATTTTATAAATAAAAATTGAAGAAATTCCAGGTTTTATTTTTGGAAAGTACTGAAAACATTAATGCTGGGAAGCATGTTAGGTGTCAAAATGGTTCATAAAACAATTGAAGGAAGACTGCTTTCCTAAAAATCCTCTCCATGAATGATGTGCAGGATTTTAGGAGATAAATAAAATTAGATCCATTAACACACAAGATATTTTTTATCATTCTTGTTTAATTATATTTACCAACTTTGCACATTAATTAATACTGCTTCCTTTTATGCAGTATGTTAACATTGGTACTGGATATCTAAGACTTTAAAGCGGTGGAGAGATGCCCTGTTTGTTATGTATGTAAGTTAGAGAAATATATTTGTTTAGTGCATCTCAGCTAAACTAATGAATTTTTTAAAATATCTACATCATCTTCTTGAACAGTTGTATGTTGTGCACAATTATAGATAATACCACTTCTTTAACTTTAAGAAGTTATTTCTGACTTTCCTTTTTAAATAAATGTTTGTTTTTAAAAACTCATTGAGTCATCTTCTGAATTGTGAATAATATAATGCATAATTATATGGTAAGTTTTGTTTTGGGTTGCCCAATGAATTGTAAATTCCTATGTGGTATTTTTATTCATTGTGTGTTTTAAAGATGGTTTTCTTATATCTAGTTCTCTTCTTTTTTCTGTCCAAAGCGTCTTAATGAAGCAACAAATGTTATAGTTCTTTGATAATTTTTGTTAATTCTAACACAAACATTTTTAATTTTATCTGTATTATCTCCAATATTGAATTTTATTCACAACTTAATTGCTCATGTTAAAAATAATTTTAGTATTCAACTTGTTTTATTTCTTATTGACTGTAATACCTCATTGTAATGAACCTTTTGCTCATGATGTGAGACACTATGCATCTTTTTGATCCTGAATCAGAGCACTCAAACTCTTTGCAAAATTTTTGACATATATATTTGTTGTTCTAATATTAATTCAATGATACATAAAAGTCATGTGACTTCTATGAACTTCTGAAGTAATTAATTTTAATGTGAACTACTATCCTTATGAGTTTTAAATAAATATTTATTTTGAACACAGAGCTAGACAGTGTAATAAGCTTGTATCATGACATATTAAAAGGAATCTTGGACATATACTGTAAATTTCGGCAGATAAGACGATAGATGAATCACAAAAAAAGATCCCAAAAATCCAGGGTCATCTTTCTCACATTCATCAACTGAGTCAAATAGTTCCTGAAATACATCCTCACTTTCGTTGTTGAGAAGTTCATCATATTGGTCCCATTGTGTACTTAGTGAGTCTATTTTCTCATCAGTATCCCATAACAAATCATTGTCAGAGCCGTCAATAGCATTAGCTGCCAGTTTCAAAAATTATGATTGCTTATCTAAACTAAATTTATAGCCTAGTGATATTTGGGGGTTTTCTTATAGGACAGATATATGCTAAAACTATACAACCTTGACAAAAATGTATACTTCGTCTTATCTGAAGATCGTCTTATCTGGAGAAATATACGGTAAGTAAGCAACTCTAAAACACACTTATATCATTGCCTCTCGGATAGAATTGCAATGGAACACAAATCGGTTTTTGTTTCCACTGAAACTTTCAAGTGGATGGACAATAAATTAATTAGATCATTCATTATAACTAAGGAAGAGATCATGTAATTACATATTTTGACAAAAACAAGCTACCTGCATTCAATAATATTTTCTGGGGTTTACAAAACATTCTGAATGAATTAGAACTTTTTTAGGGGAGAGTATGTTTCATTTAATCCCTGCACTGGAATCCATCACTGGATACACAGTACTACTAGTTACATGAGCACCAGCTCCTTGTAAACAACATTTTTTATACGTATGTATTTTATATTTTGATTAAAACTTTATGTATGCTGAAGACTAGTGAACATTACCTCTGTAGTGGTAGAGCATTCATTTGGCTACTCTGAATCCGTGTTAACATCTGATCGGTGATGTTTGTTCTTAGAAATTGCTTGTATAGAGTAATTTGAAACACTTTAATGAATTTTTATTTTAATTATTTTTTCTATTTTCTTACATATTTTGGTAACAAAATACATGTATATGAATGTACATATTTTGCTTCTTTTATTACAAAAATTCCGTTCCCTAATTATAACATGCCATGACAGGTTTCTTCTTTTTTGTACTTTTCTTATATTTTTTGCATCTGCTACACATACCTCATTCTGGAAGAATACAATACTGATGTAGTGATATCAACTTGAGACAAGCTTTTAAAGTAACAAATAGTACTGTTATGTAATGCCAATGTCATGCACGACTTTTCAGAAATGTCGAAAAATGCAATTTTTCTATTTTAACCAACATGAGTAGCCATGGTAGAGTCTCTATTGTGGAATTAATTATTATTAGTTATTATCCCCATTTTAAATTATTTATTATTTTCTATTTTGCAATATTGTTGAAGATATATTGCTTTACTTACAAAACTAACATTTCAATTTGTTTTTCACTTGCCACATGGTGAAGTTCTAATTGAAACTCAAAGCTGATATTAACATTTTAACCTTAAAAAGTAATATAAGCTAATTAGTTTACAATATTTTAATCCTGATTCTAATATCTTCTGTCATCATTCACTTTGATGGAACCCCTTTCAATATTTTATGAGGTTCATAAGATATGTAAGTGCAACATCTATCCTACCCTATAATTTACACTAAAAATATTATGTTTTTCATTGTTCATTCTGTGGTTAAGATACATGGTATACATCTTGATAGCACTATTATTGCAGATATTTAAAGAATAATTAATTAGTGCTTCAGTATGCTGCAATGAAAATCTTTGTGGAAAGTACTAGATTACAGTTATTTTTATTTTAAACATCATTGTATAGAAAAACTAAGAAAAATTAATGTTTGAAAACAAAAATAATTTGAGTTAAATAAAAAATTATTAGGCACTATCTAAAATTGTTGGCTAGATATGACTTAACAAAGTATAATTTGGAGAGATCATATTTCTCTTGGGGAATTTCATTATTTTGTGCAATGTGAATAATCTGCTTTGTGTAGTTTCTTCACATTGTGAAATAGGTATCCTCTATCAACTTTTTAAAACACTCCCTTTCATAATTAAGAACCTTTCAGAATTTTCCTATATTGTTTTATTATACATTATAAATAAAACTCAATTCAATTAAAGTAAATTGAAAAATTAATTAAATTCCAACTAACCATAATGACAATTGCACATATTTTCTGCAGGTTTTATATCTAATCAGACCTGCAAAATCACAATATCTACCATATGTGGTTTCAAAAGTCAGCTTTCTGTATATAATTTTTGATTATTAGTGCAAGGCAATGCCATTCTATCTTTTTTATGTATTGTAACAATTTGCCGACAAAAGTGTGCTCTCTTGCTCACTAACATAGTTAATTTTGCTGATAGTAATTGCAGGGTATGTGATAGTTCAATTCTTTATAATATTTTTGTTTTCCCCTTCCGGCAATGGATCACCCAAGGTTTGTGCTGAAATGTTATTCTCCAGTAAGGTGAGAAAGAGAACTGTAAATATTTTACCAAAAATATATTGCATGTTATTTATCAATGTTCTGAATTGTAGCTTCTTAAATTTTGCTTGCACATTGACGTTTGCAAACATGCTCTGTATTAGTAGTTATTACTTACCTCTGTATATACTATTCTGTAATGTTAGTTTAATTTTAT